TGTAGCCTCAAAAATAAGTAAAGCCCAGAAAACTAAAGTTAAGTTATTGTTAACCGCTCCGGCAAGCCAGGTGGTAGGTTGGGAGGGTACGCTTTGACTTAAAAGTCCTCAAAAGAAATATGGGCGCCAGGTGAGAAGTCACCGTCAAAGGAAAAGGCTACTAGTAGATCTTAAATGGTTTAACAATAACAAGTGGCTTTAATAATGCAATGGCAACAATATCACACAATGTAGGAATACAAATACTGACTCCAGAAGAACCTCAAAACACAAAGTTTAAACACTAAAACTAAAATATGAACCACAAGTTCACAACTTCAAAACCAGAGGCTAAAAGCCATACAAATACTTAATTTAAAAACCAGAGGACCAGCCTCTAACTAGAGCAAAACTCGCTCCATATAATCTCTATAAACAAGGCTCTAAACACAGCCAACAACAAACTCAAGAACAAACAAGTTCCTTCCTCAATCTCTCAAAGTCTCAACTCAAAACGCGGCTCAAATGTGAACCAGAAGTAAGCATAGTTGTTCTAGTAAAACTAGAGCATTCAGAATGATTAAATATTAACAAATACTAAACATGTTGACTCAACAACACAGAACCAAACAAAAGGGTTCTAAACTCGCAAAACAACGAGAAAATCTTCAAGGCTCTTGAGAGAAACAACGTCACATGAGACGAGACGAATCATAGCAGGCAGAGCCATAAGGTTAAAATCAGAAGTAAAACATGAACACTTGTCAAGGTAGAGAGCATAACCTCGAACATCACCATAAACAAATACAGGTTATATCATAACCAAGGACCCTGAAACAAGAGACATACAGGACACTCAGTATACCGGACATAGACCAGGAATAAATCATGATTCTTCTGAGGCATTAAATATCAACTCACCGATCAGGTGTTATAATCAAGCACTGGGATCCATGAGGAACGCCACAGTGACATCGGGTCCAAAACCAGAGCTCCTAAAATCCATCATTCTCAATCAATATATTTTCTCCAAAATAATATCATCATCCTAGTTAAATGCCGAGACTCACCAAGCAATAAAATAAAGTGAACAAATCACTAATAAAAAGGAACTCGGAGCAAACAGATCAACACCTGGGCGGAGCACATGGAAACAGGAGGTTAGGTGGGCCGCTCATATATACATCTCACGTATAATCTCTTCAGAATTAACTGGCACTCACCGAACATCTCTCCAATCCAAAATAAAGTATTGCTGATTCCAAAACTGAAGACGGATAAGTCCCAGATAAAATAATATCACGGATGATCTCAGATAAAATCACTTGCTCTCCACTACATGTTCTCTCCACGGAATCGCAGACCGGAAACTGACTGTCACCGCTCTCACTGCTTCCCAGAACGTTCCCGTGACGCCGCGCGCCAAAAGAGCCAGTATGGCAAACTGTCATGGCCGCTTCTCGCGCCAAATCTCCAATATGAGAATCAGGCATGGCCGCTCAGCGCGCCAAATTCAAAAGGTATGAAAAACGTCACGAGGAGGGAAGGGTGGGAAATTCGAACTCGAGCGCACAAGCGCGAAGCTTAAAACTGTACCGTTAGGCGCCTCAATTTAATAAACCAACGGTCACCTTAGACTACGGACAGAAATAAATAAAAATGGAAGGAAAAACCAACCAGTAACGAGAGTGATCGTTACATTACTAGGGACGGAAACCCAAGTGCCGAATGTCGCACACTTGTAGAAGGAGTGTGAACAACATTCGTAACACATAATTGGGTGACTTTCAAAGGAAAATTCACAAATTAACACTAAAAAATAGTCAAAGGTTTACGGTAAAATTTACCATTACATTTACAAAATATGAATGACACCTTGAAATTGTAAATTTCGAGCACTCCGTATTGACTTGGAGTGATCGGCAAGCATGAATGGGCTGTCGCAAATTTACCACAAATAGTTTATAAATAAAAATAACAACAAAATGTTGTAACTTCACCAGGATATTTTTTTACAATGTACTCCCTCAGTGTACGAATGGGCATTCACACACCTACAAGTGTGCGACATTGTCACACTTGAGTTTCCAGTGCGGTGAGGGTATCACACTTACAATGACAAAGTGTTCAACTGGCGTGCACATGCAAGTGGTCAACACTATGTTCTACACTTTTGGGTGTTTGACTACGAATACTTTAAATTGTTTAAGAGTAAAGTTGAACAATTAGGAAACTTTGGCGAAATAAGGACACTTTAAAGTGTTCAAATTTCCTGTTGAACACTTTGAACTATTCAAATATTCCATCAAACACTTAAAAGTGTACAACAGAGTGTTGAGCACATGCATTTGCACGCCAGTTGAACAATTTAGCAGTGCATGAACATGCTTAAACGGGACGTTGTAAAATAATTTTGTTTCACATAGCATGTATTAATTGAAATTTTTAGATGCCGAGTTGTAAAAAATTTCGAGAATAATCATGTGAGGCTCAAGGTACATCGGTAGTGTTTTCATTTCAATGAGGAAGCCATACGAATGGAGCCAGCATCCACCGCTGGTCCTTCAGAGTCAAACGTCAGAGACTAAGAGTTTGGGAGGAGGGGATTCGGGAGGGGCAAGAGCGAGAGAGAGCGAAAGAGAAGGGGGAGGATGGGGGTCTGAAAATGATAAGTTGGCGATGAAGCGCCATATCTCACACCGCTAGTAATGCATGCGCAGACAGAACAAGGCATCCCTCTCCCTCTTTCCATCTCTCTCTTCCTTCCCCGACGCAAAGTGAGTCCCCGATTCTATCTGCACCCCTCAGATACCCGACGGCTGATCTGCAGATGACGAGGACTAAAGAAGGTACATACTTTGGATCTGCGCGCTTGCTTGAAGTAGCCTGGCTTTGGTATTCGACTCCGACCAGAGATTCTCGGGGGGAAGGGGGGGGGGGTAGAACTAGAGGGAGTTGTGGATACGCTGTAGATAGTGTGCTGGAGCAAACGGTTGTCTCGGTTTGTTTTACGTGAGTCCGGCGGCGGGGGCGGGCAGGGGGCCCGGCCGGGGCGGAGGGGGTGGATTTGGTAAGCAGTATTTACGCGGCACTTCCAGGGCCGTTACACGTCTGACCACCTAACCTAACGCACCCGGCCACGGCCACCGCAGCTCACGCGGGCCCCGCCCAGCCCCACCCCGCCCCGCCGGGCCACGCAGCGCCACGCCCCCGTACGTTCAACCAAACGACTGGTCCGAATAGGGTGCGCACCGTTCGCGGTCTTTTTTTACGTCGCTAGTTAGACGGATACGGGCCGCACGTGAGAACGAACGCGCAGAGGAACCGACCCACACACCACCCACACACCCACACACACACACACACCAACTGGATTTCGTAACTTTTATTTGCACGAGTATAAGCAATCAATTTTTAGCACATATATATGCGTTGATTTGAACATTTCTGTGCGTTTATTTATTTGTACGAAATCGTGGATATTTTGAGCACAGGTTTGTCCAAAATGAAACGTAGGTTGAGCACGAACGTTTGCACGAAAACATACAAATGGAGAGTGCAACACGCAACGCTCTGCCACGCCCGGGCAAGGGCAGGCTCGGGGCAGGCACGTTCACTGGTACACCGAAATGTCTCAGACAAGCAAGGCCCCGTATAAAGCGTTAGCTCAGCACAAGACACAAGGAAAGAGAGGAGGGCTTTGACCTTCGAACAGTTGTGCCATTTACAAAGAAGATTAAGTCGTGGCCTTCTTCTAAGAATAGTGAGATTTCAAACATCTAGCCGAAGAATTGACATTCGCTTAATGGTTTATTGTTTAACCTTCTCTCTTGTTTTCCCTTGAAATCCTGAAGGACCTAGGTTAGTCTGAGATTTTAGTTTTCTTGCAAAAAGCGAAGGCTGGGGTTTCCCCCGTAATACGTCACACAGAGTCACCTTAGTTTTCAAGCAAAATTCACAAGCCACCCGTTAAAAACAATGTCTCATTTTTTGAGGAAAAGGGGAAAACTTTGAGGAACTTCCATGTTTGAGGAAGAGTCCTCCGATCACATTTTTTTAGGAGACTCCCTCGAAATCTGAGGAGTTTTCGTCAAACCAGGGGAGTTCCTCAAAATTTTCCCTTTTCCCTCAAAAAAATGAGACATTGTTTTTGCAAAAGCCAAGTTGTCGTCTTCTTCCCTTTTTTTTCATTTTGACCGGAGCGAGTCGAGTCGCTCGCTCTCTTTCTCCGCGGTGTACTCTGTACGCGATGCTGTTTCAATCTACTTAAGGCAGTGTCATTTCCTTCACGCTTTGCCTCTTCCCCTCACGCCCACCAAAAATGCTCTCCCTTTTTCCCGGCTTTCAGCCCCCCCCCCCCTTCTCCC